GGTGGGGTGTGGAGAAGGGAGGTGTCCTGGTGAGGCCTGCGCAAGCTAAAGTTAGGTGCACACCTGTCCTATATATGGGTTAAAATATGCATGTGTATTATAATCTTTTTCTAAAGTAGACATTTTTGTGCCCCCAACATCTTCATTTAGCAAGGGGGCTTCAACCGCGTCTGTCATTGTCAACCCGGGCTGATCTCGAGAAGGGTACTAAATCTCAGAGGAAAGACCGAGATACTAGATAAAAATTCTACCGACACAGAAATCGAACTCGCGTTCCCTGTGTAAGACGACGAAACACCTCACCGCTTCACCACAGATGATGATCCTATTGGTTAGATCTACGGGTTGGGTATCAACCATCGCTATATTGGTCGCTTTTAAGCACAAGGGGGCTATCCCGAAAAATGTTGTTTTGAGAAAATCGAAGGTGACGTTTTTGGACCCCTGTTCAGTTTCTTTAAAAGACAAGGAAAGTTTTCTCTATAACCAAACAAATATACACACCAATGAAACCAAATTTCTCCTATAGATAGGGCAATGCCCCCTTTTGGTGTAGGTCAAGATTTTGGGAAACCTCCGACGCCCGCTTAATTGTTCTTAAAGCGACCATATAGTCTCAACAGAAAGTTAAAGACTTTGATTCTCAAATACATGTATAGACCTAAAATCACATTTTGGAAGAAGACATCTTGGCCTCGAAAAAACAAAAACAAAAACAAAACCTTACACACATGCCTTTAATATTTTGCCATCATTTATTTGTCGTATCGGCACAGTGCTACAGAAACGTGACTCTAAATAAGATAGATAAAATTCATGCGCTCTTGTTATTGTTGTTGTTGTTGTTGTTGTTGTTGTTGTTGTTGTTGTTGTTGTTGTTGTTGTTGTTGTTATTATTATTGTTGCTGTTGTTGTCGTTGTTCCTGTTGTTGTTGTTGTTTTTATTGTTGTTTTTTGTTGTGGTTGTCGTTGTCGCTGTTATTGTTGTATGAACGGCCTCCATGGCGTTATGTTCGGTTCTTTTTCTTGCAACGCAGAAGGCGTCAGTTCAATTCTCGTGTGAGTGTGGGGGTTTGTATTTTAAGAATAGAATATTCCCGCGTTTCTGATGGGATGGGACTTTCTTGCATTAAGGGGAGCTTGAGTTGTCGATCTTTTGCTTTACGTAATGAATCTTGTCAACGTTGATTAGATTATCTTTATTTTCTCTTTTAGGTGTTGTTGTTTGGTTGGGGTTTTTTTTGGCATACTTGTATGTGTGTGTGTGTGTGTGTGTGTGTGTGTGTGTGTGTGTGTGTGTGAGAGAGAGAGAGAGAGAGAGAGGGGGGGGGGTCATAATATTTATTTG